GTTCTTCTGCAGGCTCCATGTGTGCGGGCTGTGCTCTGCTGCCTAGAAGAGGGGCCCAGGGCGAGAGCTGTGCTGCTGCTTCCTTGCGATTCAGCTCTAAGGAGCCTTGATGGGGAGGCATGAGCCTGAACCAGGGAGAAACTCCAGGGAACTGGTCAGGATCTGGCAGTCTGCTAGGGTCTGGGAGTAAAACAAAGGCCAGAAGAAAGCAGGAGGTGCAGTACTTGTCTACACTGTTTTCTGGGCAAGCATACTTTGACTTGAGCCTGCTTTCTGTTACAATTGGTGCTGGTCTCACAGATGAGGCTGTGCACAAAGGTCACTTCTCTCCAGGGAGGTGCCTGTGTTTGCCCAGCAGCTGGGTGCAGGAGCAGCCTGGGCCTTGCAGCTGCATTTCCCACCTGGCAGCAGGGTTGCAGCCAGGAGGCCACCATGCTGTGGCCACAGGGCAATTCCTGGGTGAAGCCGCATGGACTTGCAACTCCACGGGCTCAAGAAAGTGATGACTGATGAGCTGTTGTGTTACCAACCCCAGTGCCTGTATGGGCAGGAAGAGGTGCTTTCCAGCACCTTTCCCTGATGCCCATGGCAATGACCTCTCCTGGGGAGCTTCTGGCAGGTCAGGGATGCCACTCGAGGCAGCTACTGTGGGGCGAGTGGCGGCACCTCGCAACCCACACTAATGCGCGTCTAACTGGCAGCGAGATTGGCTTTGGAGCTAATTTAAGGCAGTGCTTCTGGCATGGTGCATCAGTCCAGAAGGTCCAGAAGGTGATTACTAGCAGAGCAGATTAAGGATGTTTTTATTTTCAAATTAACAGTTCATTAGATATCTAGGACACAACCACTCAAGCCTCAGACGGCTGCAGCACAATGAAGCTATCGCTGCTGCATGATTGAATGGAACAAGCTAACTAATTAGGCATTATAATTAGGAAAGTAAACAACTTGGTCAAATATTCAATCAGTTAAAAGTGCTTAGCCTATCTTGTTCATCTGCTTCTACCGATGCAGTTTACTGTTGCATTTTTTTTATGAATTCTGCTGAAACGCAAAGTTTCCCAAGGAACAAATTTAGCCATTACATGGACAGACCTCCTCCAGCCATCGGTGCTCAATCTGAACACTTTAACACTTTAAAGTAAAGACAACTGCTAACCTTTCAGACATGTGACTTGCACTGGCATCCTGCTAAGCAGAAGGGGTTTATAAAACAACAGAAATATTGTCATGGCTGTGATGACAAACCGTCCAACAGGGGGATGTGATCATGACACAGATCAAGACAAAACCAATTTTCACTTCCTTTAATAACTTTTTTTTTTTTCCTGGAGAGACTTGGTCAAAGTTAGCTGAAATAACTGGGGTGCCAAAGTGATGCTGTATGCGTGATGAAGACTCTCAGCTGAGTGTTTTCTATTTGCTTAGACACAGGGCACACGTGGTGTGGGCTGGCTGACGACTTTCTTCAGAGCTGTGCACTAGTAGCGAAAGCCAAACCTGAGCAGCATCAGCACGGTGAGGAAAATGCTATTTACTGGCAGACTTCCTCCCGCTTTCTCATCCGGGCACAAGCAAGAGCAGCCTAAGCGGGGTTCAGCAACACCAGTATACTCAGGGCTTGGTAGCAATGCAGGGACACTGGTGATAAACTTCAACCAATGCAGGTTTCCATCATAAAATCAGTCCTGAGAAAACCAGCTACGGGGTGTGTGCATCAGGCAGTGGCCCATTTCAGACAAGCTCTCCCCTCCACCAGCTTTCGACTCCTTGTCTGCCCCGTTGTGTGCCCACGCAGCCAGGGGCAGCAGCCTCCAGCATGGTCATGGCCAGGGACCGATGTGAGGGGTGGCAAGCCAGGAAGCGGCAGTGCGAGGTGCGAGGCTTGTAGTGTGGAAAACACAAAAGGAGGCCAGGGCTGCATGCATTGCACTCTTCCACTTTATCCACGTCACTCAGTACCACCTGTGTGTGCCTGGGCAAAAGCTAGAAACTGGCCCTTGTGACAGAGCTAGGGAGGCGCAACCACCATCCTCACCGCTGCTCACAGCCTCACGACTAGAGGAAGTTTCTCTGCAATTGAGGCATTTCCAGCCGCATGGCCCTCAAGGAAGAGGTGGCCTGAGGCAGGGCAGGCGCATGGCCAAAGGCGGCGGCAGCGCCAGCCTTGGCGGCCGCACTCGGAGAGGACGGGCTCTGCGGCCCCAATCCTGCCGCTGCTTCCCGGCTCCGCGCAGCAACTGCAGCTGCAGCCATAGCAACCGCATAGAAGTTTTTCTTTTCCTTCATAATTTGAGTTAAAAGATGAAATAAGAGCAAAACACACCCATCCTCCCACCCCTCTTTGCTTTAAAGGGCCTTTGCTCTCAACAGAATTCAAAGGTCAGTGCAAGCCCTCCCAGAAATGCAGGGTTTTTAATGGATTCACACACACACACAGTTTCGCCTTGGGAGCTTTGCCATGCTGGAGCCCGGCCAGTTGAACACTGAGGTGTCACTGACGCAGCCGCCGGGAAAACACCGGCGACGTTCGGGGCCGGGGCACAGGAAGCGGCTGCGTAACCCCGTGCGGCGCAGGCCTGGTGCCGTGGAGACCAGCCTCGCGCCTCGCCTTCCTCCAGCTGGCAAGGAGAAAACAAACAGAAGAGGAGCCAGCGAGAAGGAAGTGACCAACTTTCAGGGGAGCGCGAAAGGCTGCAAAACTCAGCGCAGAAACGCACGTCTCTGCGCAGTCCTCCTTTCCACACATGTGCTGTTCGTACCTGGCCTCCAACCAGCACCACCACGCAGCACGAGGCCGCCAACGCTCACGCCATACCGGGCTCAAGGGCTCCGGGTAGCCTCAGTGAAGGACAACCAGGCAACCAGGGCCAACCAAGCCCGGCGAGCGTCGGCAGCCCCTGCACAGCCAGGGGCATGTCGGGGAAGGGG